ACAGTTCCTCTCAATATGAACGGACCATTGAATTATATGCTATGTTAATTATAACTGAATTTTTAAAATGCTGGGAAAACGTTCAAGTGATTAAATAAGCAAAAAAGTAGTGGAAGCCTCCTGAGTCAGCAAACGCTGGACCTTTCACATGCTGTGTGAATAGTCCAGGCTGCAACATCCGTGAAGAATAAATGCCATCGACCACAAGATGGAAGCCTAGTCCAGCTTATGCTATATGGTTGGAAAAAGCAAAGGAAGGAGAGATCCTTCAGAACCTTTGAAATATTTGCCTTTAAACACAATGTAGAAAGCAAAACAATTGTCCCAAGCCAAGGCTGTATTTGTGGGTGGAATGTTTCGAGGGTTTTGCACTACAGACTCATTCTCAGAATTCATGTATTACAGAGCTAAGGAGCCTCGATGGAGAATTACAGTTCCTACTTTCTGGTTTCCTTTATCAAGAACGCAATGGAAATACAATGATGATCTAGTGAATGCCAAGTTATCAGGGAGTTAATTGGTCTCTAGATATGATTTACAATGATATCTATTACTACTAGTATTTTGATTGGTGAAAGAATATATATACATATATATGTATATATATAGACATTTATTAAAACCAGTCACAATCTTCTAGCCTATTTCTCACCTTTATTTTTACATTAAAAATTTCCAAATTCAAAAATATCCTCAGAAATCAATATATATAAAGCTATTGTCTATCGTCACTCTTGTTTTCTAAAGACTTTTCCAGCATTGATTCCCTATGTATTATTCCATGTAAGTCTTGAAATTACTTCTTTTTCAGACGATATTTACCCTCTTCCATTTCCTCCTATTCAAATGTGATCATTTCACAAATTTCCCACTTGCGTTCTGAGATTGGCCCTTGCTATCAAGGAAGACAAGAGCCCTCTTTTTCTCATCTGTTTGGTTTTTTGGGGGGGTGTGAAAATTTTATTTACTCATCCATAACATTGAGACTTAAATTTTTACGTACTAAGGGCTTTAAAAAGGAGGTGGCTACTAGTCAGGCTGCTAACTGCAGGGTCAGTGGTTTGAAACCCCCAGCCACTCCCTGGGCGAAAGATGAGGCTTTCTACTCCCATAAAGAGTTACAGTCCTGGAAGCCCACAGGGGCAGTTCTACCCTGTCTGATAGGACTACTATGAGTGGCATTGACTGCATGGTGGTGAGAAGGACTTTAATAAATTATCATTTTCTACAACCTTCCTCATCCCATCAATCAAGAAGCCCTAGTGATTTCTTCTTCATATCTCTTAGCTTCTTGTTTGCACTGCTCCTGTCTTCTGAAGTCTGTACAAGTGCTCTATGAGTTTAGAATCTAGCTGCTTTACTATTTCTCACCCAATACACTAAAGAACCGGTCTTCAAGACTTCAGTCCCTCAAGCTCAAAAGGTAAGACTGGAGAAGGACTGCTATGCAGACATGCTTATAATCGACAGAACTGTGCAAAGGTCATGGTTTAAGGGAGAAACATTTCCACATAAGGTGACCTGTTGCCAAGAAAATGGTGGCAGGATTAAGAGCACGCTTGTTGAGACACGGCCAGTTCTCAAAGCTCCAGCTTGTAAGTTACCTCCTACATCTTCAATAGGAAGACTTCAGTATCTTGAAGACTCTGACTGGTGGGGAACAAAGAGGAGATCGCAAGTTCAAGTTAAGAGGCAAGACTCTAAGACCTCAAACCTTGCAAATACTAATTATTAAAACTCTCAACTTGACTGTCTAATGGGAGAGGAATCTCATGTCTAAGTCAGCGGTTCTCAACCTGTGGGTCGAGACCCCTTTGGGGGTCGAACAACCCTTTCACAGGGGTCGCCCAATTCATAATAGTAGCAAAATTATACTTATGAAGTAGCAACGAAAATAATTTTATGGTTGGGGAGGTCACCACAACATGATGAACTGTATTAAAGGGTGGCGCATTAGGAAGGTTGAGAACCACTGGTCTAAGCCCTCGCTCAAATACTGCCCCCTAAATATTTTCCTGGGTTCTATGACTGTATGTTACATTAAGGCTTTTTTGCCTTAAATTTTTTCATTCACATCTATGGTCTTTTCTGTATCTTAATAACAGACACACACACACACACACACACACACACAAACTCACTGCCACTGAGTTTACTCTAACTCATACCTACCCTGTATAGCATTTTGGAGGCTGTAAACCTTGATGGGAACAGAGTCCTAAACTTTTTTGCTGATCAGCTGGTGAGTTTGAACCACCAACCTTGTGCTTAGCAGTTCCTTGCTTACCCCCCAGTGCCATTTCCCAGACTTTATTTTTGTTCTCAGGCCTCTGAATGTGGCTTAGGTTTGCCAGGGAAGTTTATTATTATCAGACTTGGAAGGTGGGCATTGGCAGAGTCACCTCATGCAGGGGACACCTGGGTTTCACAGACATGAGTTTGGCAGCAGCCTTGTGTTTCTCAGGCGTCCCACCCCCTCGGGACTGGCTCTACAGGAACTGTGACATCTGCAGTGGCTTCCTGAAAGTTCCTGTCCTCCTGAAGTCACGGGTCTACATTGGCTCCTGCTCCTCAAGCCTTCCTTTCAGTTACAAGACAGAATCCCCTGCGACATGTTCAATTCTATTTAAAATGCTGACAGTGATTTCTGGGGGGTCTTGTTTGTTTGTTTGAGTTTGTTTTACCATGTATGGTCACCAAGCAGACGTGTCTCGGGGACCCTGAGAGATGCCCTCACATTCACAGGAAGTTAGGGTTTGGACCATAATAGAGGAACCTTACCAGTGTACACACGGCAGTTGTTCTCCAACCACAGAGAACAGGAACTGAAAGTCTGTTCTAATGCTTCTCAGAATGAATAGCCTCATGAGAGAACCAGTCAGTATTTTAGGTCGAAAAACATCATCAGTTGCCGAGTGACACCTTGGATTCAAGGAGTCAAAATTCTATCTCAATATGCAAACTATCTTTCTGCAGAATTCCTTTGAATTTCCAGTATCTTTGCAGAGTACTTCCTAAAAAGCAGCCATTGGGACATCCAGCAAAGGGCAAGCATAGAAAAATTCACTTGTTTTTGCCCCCAAGGAGATGATATGAGTAAAACACACACAGGATGGGACTTGTGACACGGATTGATCCTGTAGAATTCTCATTTGGCCCATCCTCCTGCCCCCAGGAAATAGATTCCACGATAAGTCTAGGAAAGACCCTGAGTGACAGAGGCGTCAATGTTACAGGATATTCAAAACCCTTAGAGGTGATCAGTTCATGAGGGGTTCTCAAGGGTTTGGGGTTTTTTTTTAATCATGTTATTGGGGGCTCATACAACTCTCTTCACAATCCATCCCTCCATCCATTCTGTCCGGCACATTTGTACATCCGTTGCCCTCATCATTTTCTCTCTCAAGGGTTTTTGCCATGACTGTTTGTGAGCGAAGCTGCAGAACGGAATAAGATCATGTATATAAAAAAAAGAAGGATCACGTGTCATGACTGATATTAAACGATGGGCTCACGAGCTGAGGGCTGCCTCACTGCCAAGTTTGTCTTCATTCACAATATTTAGACCTCAAGTCCTTCGATGGTCCTTTCTCTGTGTGCTTCAACAGACCTCTTCCTTTGCACTGGCTTTTCAGAAACGGGAAGATCTGCGTTTCATGACATTCACTGTTCTCTTTGGTTGGCGAACATTGAGATACAGTTTTGAAATAATAACCACAATAAGTCTGTGACAAGGCAGAGGGAAGACGAAGCCCGCCTGCAGTTGATTGTCTCCGGCATTCCTAGTAAAATGCGCTCTCCTTTCAGTAGTCCGCCAGCTGAGTTGAGCTGAGTCCTCAAAGGAGACGTGCCTCCTACATCCTAGTCCCAGCTCTGCTCACATGAGGGCTGGGGTTAGGAGCAGTAGGTCCTTATTTCCTGCCCACTGGTGTTGGTAACGGGAGAAAGATGAGGCCCATCAAGAGTTACAGACCCTCGGAAACCCACAGCGGCACTTCTGTCCTGTTCTACAGGATCGCTATGAGTCAGTATTGATGTCATGGCAGTCAGTTAGGGGTTTTTTGTTGTTGTTGTTATTTTTTGGTTGTCAGTAACCCCTGTCTGTGTCTCAGGGGTAGCTCTCCATCCATCACCACTCATGGGAATGCTGAAGCTTGGGGTTTCTCCTGTGATACTTTGTAAGGACAACACATTTCCAGGTACCCCACACTCTTGAGTGGAGGAGAAACATGAAGCAATAACGCTGTCAGCCTCGCACCACCAGGATTCAGACATCGTCTGTGGCCTGCCAGTTTACTGCCTGTCCGATGACCTCTCACCCATCAGTAAACTGCCCAGCGGTCACAGCACAGAGGCATGCTCTGTACAAGGCACTAGGTTTAGGATGTTTCCATTGATTCTGTTCTCACTAAGGTGCTTCAGATAAATTCCATTCCGGGGCTTAATTTGGGATGGAAAAGTCTGTGAGTGATTATTACTCAATATTGCCCCAAACGTTCTCATTTGTGTTTGCTTATTTCTTTTATTAAGAACTTTATTTCTAAGGGTGCATGGGGGAAAGGGGAGGAGGAAGGGAAGGGGAGGGGGGGGAAAAAAAAAAAGGAAAATCCAGGAACCCAAGAGGAAAGAGAATTTTGGGAATAATG